GGGTTTAGGGTTTAGGGCTTACTACCCGCCACCACAGGGCAGGCTGCTCCATGCCGCTCCACCCTTGCGACAAACTCTCCGGAGGAGCAGGCGAAGAGACTCGCTGACCAAACCAGCCATGGTGTTTGAGCCCAGACCCACAATCCTGAATTCGATCACACGGATGTATATTCAGGCATGCTTCTGAAGTCAAAGCCCCGCTTGCAGCCCTAAACCGTAAACTCCAAAACCCCAAAACCCCAAAACCCTAAACCCGAAACTAAAACCCTACACACCGAAACCCCAAAGCCCTAAGCCCCAAAGTCCCGAAGCCCCGAGTAACCACCCAGCCCGAAGGCCCTTGAAGAGTCCCCGCCCTAATGATCTGCAGATCAGGTTCAGGGGATTAGGATTTAGGAGTTTAGGGGTTAAGGGTTAACGGTTTGGGGTTCTAGGGTTTAGGATTTAGGAGTTTAGGGTTTAGGGTTTTAGGATTTAGGAGTTTAGGGTTTAGGGTTTTGGGAGTTAGGGGTTGAGGGTTTTAGGGTTTTAGGAGTTAGGGGTTTAGGGTCTTAGGATTTAGGAGTTTAGGGTTTAGGGTTTTAGGAGTTAGGGGTTGAGGGTTTTAGGGTTTTAGGAGTTAGGGGTTGAGGGTTCAGGTTTGTTTAAGGTTCAGGGGTTTAGGACTTAGGGTTTAGGGTTGTTGAGGGTTTAAGGTTGCAGGATTTAGGGGTTGAGGGTTTAGGGTTTTAGGGTTTTAGGAGTTAGGGGTTGAGGGTTCAGGTTTGTTTAAGGTTCAGGGGTTTAGGACTTAGGGTTTAGGGTTGTTTAGGGTTGAGGGTTTAAGGTTTCAGGATTTAGGGGTTCAGGGTATAGGGTTTTAGGGTTTAGGATATAGGGTGGTGTAGGGTTGTGTAGGGTTGAGGGTTTAGGGTTTAGGATGTAATCCTACAGCCCCAAAGCCCTAAAGCCGCAAACATGGGCTTGCCCTTTAACGCTTCAGGGTTGAGGGTTGAGGGCCCTTCTAAGCCTACTTAGGGTTTACTTAGGGTTGAAGGGCCCTTCTAAGCCTACTTAGGGTTTACTTAGGGTTGAGGGGCCCTTATAGGTCTACGTAGTATTTATTTAGGATTGAGGGGCGCTTATAAGCCTACGTCTTCAACACGCCCTTACAAGACGCTGAAGAACCCTGTAGAGTTCAACTATAACCAAGGGGCTCGTTGAGCGTCACCCAGAATTTCGTCACCCTTGCCAGCAAAGCTTCGTCGGACTTGGACATCAAGTCCTCAAGGACTCGCCGCTTTAGGCTGTGGGGGCTTGGGGCTGGAACCTTGGGCTCAGATGAGGGCTTTAGCATCTAAGGCTTAACGCTTGGTTTAGAGTTTAAGTCATGGCTCGGTTTGGGGTGGGTGGGGAATAAGGTGGAGTGAAACGCAGCTTCAATCTGTCTAGTAAGGCTGCTGCAAGTCTTGACTTTGACCACGCGCTGCCTTCAAATCAGATGTCAAGAGGCTCTAACCCCAGGGGTCCAAGGGACGCAACAATCGGGTACTTAGGTTTCGGATAGTAGTTATGTAGGTTAGTATTTGGGAAAGTCTACATTCCAGTAATATCTATTATCGATCCCTATTCCCAAACAAGGAAAATGTGGGTATGAGCCAGTAACTGCTACCCCCCCGTCCGACCAAGACCCGAGGTCTAGCAATCGCATTGCCGTTGACTATGCCCATAAGGGTTTAGGGTTTAGGGTTTAGGGTAACTGGGAGTTAGGCTTAAGGGGACCTTTGGGGATGTAGACCCTCTCAATAAGGTCCCTTTTTGGAGAGCCAGAAGTGGGGTCCAGAAGGGTCCCCTTTCAGGAGTCTCCTTCATACTCCCTAGGATAAACCCTGCACCCTCATCACCCAAACCCCAAACCCCCATCCCCTCAACCCGAAACCCAGGCTTACCCTAAGGGTCCATGTACCCAGATCATATACATACTTGGGCCCCGCAGTACCTATATAGGGACTACTTCAAGGCCAATGTATATATACTAGATGAGTACATGGACCCTCAGGGTTACAATCCCTAAACCCCTGACCCCTAAACCCTCA